AAACTCCATGGAAGTTATGGGATGTGAAGCAAACTTCCCAGATGATCCATGAGAAGAAAGAAAGATGATTTTTCTCTTAAAAGAATAACTACAGCCGGGCTCGGTGGCTCAGCCTGTAATCCCAGCGCTTTAGGAGGCTGAAGTGAGTGGATTGCCTGAGTCCGCAGGTTCGAGACCTGCCTGGGCAACTTGGCGAGATCTCATCTCTACAATAAATCAAAAAAGAAAATTAGCTGGGCGTGGTAGCATGCACCTGTAGTTCCAGCTACTTGGAAGGCTGAGGCGGAAGGATCGCCGGAGCCCAGCAGGTCGAGGCTGCCATGGCCAGGAACGGCCACTGCACTCCAGTCTGGGTGACAGAGTGAGACTCCAACTCAAAAAAAAAAAAATAACTAGAATGAAAGCAATAAGGCAGGAAACAGCAGAGTCTGAAAGTGAGTGAAGCAAAGGATGGCTAAAGTTCTAGGTACACTCAGTATCTACCTCAAACTATTTTGTTCCCCATGTGTGGTTGACAGTCAAACAGATTGGCCACATCGATACTGCCAGAGGGGACCCTCAAGAATACTGAGGTTGAAAAGGGAGAAGAGACACAGATTCCTGAGTACTCACTGGAGGAGAGACCTTTGTAGAAGGATTGCTAACACTTGTAAAAGGGCCAATGGCTCTTCGTAAAGGATAAGACCTATCTTCTAATCAAGAGTAAATGAAAAGTTATTTGGGCGTGACTTATGTCAGGATATTGGGTACAGCTCAGAATTATTTTGAAATTATAGCTTGAGAAAATGTAAGACAGTTTAAACAGGCAATTTCTGAGAAAGAAAATAGTTTATTTTCTCCCTTCCTATACCCAAAGGGTCACTTGAGTCTGCCTTTGCCCAAAAGAGAGATTAAATCCCATTGTCTTTATATATTGTAAAAAGCCATGGCTGTCTAAAGGTAGAAAGTGTATTGTCGAATTTAATATTACCCTTGAGCACAGTATAGCGGGGGAAGTCTTGAAACTGAGGCTGACAGGCTTTAGCTAATTTTAGCAAGCGTGTATAGGTATTAACAAACTCTTAAGTTTCTGAGTGACGTCATCCTCCCAACAAATTTCTTAAACTATGCCTTCACAAACGGACATTTCTCTTCCAATGATGTCTTCCTGAGTAAAATGTTGAATCACTCAAGGGATACAGACTTTAAAAAAGAGAGAGAGAGAGAAATGCTGTGTGGGAGGGGCAGAGCTTTATAAAACCAGTCATTACCATGTCTGAACTGTAGCAACTCTCAGAGGAGCATTTCTCATCAGACAACAACTCACAGATTAACAAGGTATTGCAATGATTTCCATGACCATCTTTATGGGAAATATGATTTCTTTTTTCTTCTTCTTTCCTATTGGTATTAATATATTGAAAATTAAGATGTAGGATGTTTGTAGATGGCTAGTAAAAATTTTCTTGTTTAGTGGTTTAATTAAAAATATTTTATTTCAAGGTTTGAGTTAAATTTATAAGGATTAATTTTAAATCTCAGAAACCAGCAAAAGCCTATGTATTTTATTAACTAAAATAAGATATACATTTAAATTGTGACTTCAATTTTATCAAACAGGTTAGAATTTGTATATTCTATACTAGCTACTTTTTGACACTGAATCTGATGAAAATAACTAGATAAATTAAAATACCTTTACTTAAGCAATTGAAAGTAATATATTCATTGTATATAAACAAAAGGAAAAGAATATGTAGTTTGCATCTTAAATGAAAAATCAGAAACTGAAGGAATCAAGCAGCAATTTGGGTTGAGTCAATCCCGTACAACAGTAGGCTTATTGAAATTGGTTAAGTTCAATAATGGGTCAATTTAGTGAAGGTGAAGAATCAGCCAAACTAATTTTTGGGTCGACTGAAGTATGGTCCAGTAAACAATCTGGTAACCCATGAAAAGGTACTTATTCATTTTAAAATTCATCAACTAAAAGAAATAGCTCTTAATTTTGTTGGGGGAAAATGTAGCATTGTTTGATGTGATGTTTCCTTGAGACTATTGTTTTTATCTCAGTTCTCACAGAATTTTGTGGTCAATTTCATAATATTTTTACTGTCTACTTGTAAACACATTTTGTTTTAAATGCTACACAAACGTCAACCTAACATCCAGAACCAATGAAACAAGGAACTATGGCAGTATGCCTGGTGGCTCCTCCCCAATTTTTCCTTACCTGTGCCAAGTTTCAGTGGCGTGTTTGTCAATTAGTGTTGCAGGAACCAGCACATACACAGGGAGACCAGCCCCACACATGATTTCCATTCATTCATCCCAGTCATAATATTAGGCATTAATTAGGACATAATCTTGGGAAGCTAACAAGGTTGTGTAACTTATTATAGTGTTAAGAAATTCACAACAGGTGCTCCTGTTCTGGGAGGCTGTGGTGTTTACATTACTCTGTGACTTCAATTTTGCATTGTCCTCAAAGAGTCTCATCCAAGCATAAGGTATGTCCTTGTCTGAGAGTCAGGAAACACCACATGCGTTGCTTTCATAGATTTCTAAAATTACAAACCACTAAACCTTATTTGAAAAGTTCATAGGAAAAACATTAGACTCAGAGTCAGAAGACTGGAATCCAGTCAAATCTTCTGAAATGAACTAGCTGTGCAGTATACATCTTCATATTTTAATTTGTGTAATAAAAATTACCAAACTTTACTAGGCAAGCAATTATGCAAATTAAACAAAAGGGGAACAGAAGGAATTTGATAACTGCTATATAGGCACCAAATATTATTTTTACATTAAATGAAATTAATTGCATTTTGTTTAAAAACAGGATTTGGACTATTTTTAAAAGAAGTAAATTATCTGGTGCAATTTGGACTATTTTTAAAAGAAGTAAATTATCTGGTGCAATTTGATTTTGTTCTTATTTATTGCTTTATCTAATTACTCTAAATTCCAATATAGTATTAACAGCGCTGTCTGATACTTTGCCTTGACACTTAAATCCTTTAAGCGTGAAAGTGACTGGCAATGCAGATGGTTACAAAGAATTAGGTATAGAAGTCTAAATTTATTTTCCTGACTCTCCTCTCTTATTTACATCTTTCACACAGGGATAGAGAACTATTTTATCTGTGTTTTGTTTGTTTGTTTCCAAAAGGTATTGCATTAACTAATTTTTCAAACTCATACAATACGTCTAATAAGCTATAAAGACAATTTTAAACTGGTAAAAGGAAGAGGAAACAAATTTCTGAGCCACCCAAGTTAATCTAGTATCTGTGATGAAGCAAAAATTTAGAAATAGTGACTCTTTTTGTAACTTAATAAACCTTCTAGTAGGCTTACAGACTTGCTACTTTTCTCTTTTTATTCTTTCTAGCAGATCTTACACTATATTTGCTTAAACTCTTACATATCTTAGTGAAGGTTTGCATCAACAAGTGAGTCAGTGGGGACATTGGAAAGGGTAGGCTTCCTCAGGCAAACCTGAACTCGAACCCTTGCTCTATTATGTATGACCTGTGTGCCCAAAATCAAGTTACTTAACTTCTCTGAGCAACAAAATGGAATCTATAAAATAAAGATAATTATATCATACAGATCCTGTACAGATTAAATAAGGAGACAAGAAGAGGTGAGAGAGTTTCTAGGACAAGTTTCATGTAATTTACTATTTTGTCTTGATAAAGTACAATCAGGAAGTATTTTAAACAGTAATTTTAATACAAATTCCAATCACTTTCTTATATATATATAAGGAGTTTACAAACCAAGGGTTCACACAGGACACTCATGAATTAGAGAAAGAGGTAACAACTGATCCTTGTTGGGAAGCTATGCTAAGTGAGTGAGACCACAGCTATGAATAGTCAAGATAAGGATATGCTTCATCCTGGAGACTTCCTCCAGCTCCTCCCCAGTGCTGGGAAGACACTGTCTCAAGAAGGTTTCCTGAGGGATGATGAGTGTCAGTGTTGTTTGGTGTATTTATATATTTTTATAATTATAGGGTATATTTCAAGCTAGGATAAAAGCAAAACACAGAGTTAGCAAGATAATCATTGGCCAAGACTCTCTCTCTCTCTCTCTCTCTCTCACACACACACACACACACACACACACACACACACACCCCTTGGGTGTGTCTACATATTCGGTTACATGCAGCGACTTAAGTCATGAAAGGTGTGGCTGCCATTCATTTTTACATGGTTGATCAGTTAGTGTATGCATGTGTTTCATACACCTGGAATTATCCCTACAGTCCTTCCTGGCACTGGCCTCCCACCCAGCAGTGTGGCAGAAGAAGAGGACTCTTCTAGTATTCCCAGTAATGAATTCCCCAGCACCAGAGACCCGTTTGTAACAGGTCTGTGGTATATGTGATATGTGTAGGGTAGAGGTTGAGGGGTGTGAGCAGAGGTACATATATAAACCCTCAAGCAATGAGCCAAATTCTAGAAGCAGGAAACTTGAAGGAAGATTGATCCTTCCAACTGGAATCAACAGAACACGTGTGCATGTAGCATATATGTGCATATGTGTATATTTGCCTGTGTGGGGAGTTTTGGGGGGCCGTGGTATGCAGTGTGTTTGAATGCAGCATAGAGGTTGAGAACACGACCATAGGGATCACCTACCTGACTTCAATTCCTTTATTGTTTTTGCTGTATTGTCATTGTGCTATAAAGCACCACTATTCATTACATAACTGTTCGTTGTATCTCAGGATACAGGGTCAAGTGCAAAATGAAAATCTGGGCTTCTTGTTTAAAACTATGACAAATTTCAAGATGGGTGACATAACAGCATTTTGCCAAGTATGGGTCCCTCTGTGGCTGCACAGGTGGCAAGGCCATGAAGCAGTCCTGCCCTTTCTCATGCTGTGCCATAAGGAGGAATAGTGACAGAACCTAGGTCTACACAGGGTACAGTCTGTTCTACACTGCTGACCTTACCTGAAATGCTACGTCATCTTTTAGAGCTGTTTCTTTTTTCTCCTTCTAGATTGAAACAATGGAAGACCTATACGTGGCAAACACAATCTTTGCCCTCAATTTCTTCAAGCATCTGGCAAAAGTCAGCCCCAGTCAGAACCTCTTCTTCTCCCCATGGAGTATCTCGTCCACCATGGCCATAATCTACATGGGCTCCAGGGGCAACACTGAAGACCAGATGGCCAAGGTGAGTTTGAGTTAAAGCTCCACAGTGGAACTGAGTGACTTCTGAATTGAACTGTAGAAATGCTCTTGTTTTATACTCAGGACATTAATTTGTCTCATGAGGTCAGCAATCATCCCAAGCTAGTAAAGCACCGGCCCTTACAGCATGAACTCTTTAGACTTAAGTCTACAAAGCAGTGACACCACAAAAACCCTCAATGGTAGATACCAAAGGCATTTGGGAGTGGAACAGCCTGTAGGGCTGGAAATAGTCAACCGTGGCCGCACCTTCTATTTTAATAACATAATGTTCTTACTTTTCAAAGTGAGTGCTTTGTACTCACTATCTCATTCGATTTTAAGACAAATGTACAGACGAGAACACTGACAGGGTGAATGAAGCCTCTGCTATTTCCTGACTCCTCATTCAGGTTCCTTCCCTCTGCCCTGCCACCTTGGTGTGTTTATTCCCTGTTCCCGTAAAGAATTCCTCCTGATGATGATAATAAAGTCTGCAAAAGACAAAAAAGTTCCAGGGTTGTGGTCACCACACTAACAGAGAGACACAGACAGTGATATAGTCTCAGAGAACCTTGCCATGTCATCAAATCTGTGAGGTCACCTCAGCAAAATAGAGCCTGGCTGTTATGTAAGGCCAGTCTCAGAACCAAGGTCGACAGTTTGCGGGACAGCATTGTGAGGGATTTCTGCATCAAGGCAGAAATTTCCTTCTTCCTTTTTTCCTTGTGAATAGACACAGAATCAGTCAGGGAACCCTCTCCATTGAGTCTGGGGACTTGAAGATATACTGAATTACTTCAATTGCACACTACAGTCATCTTAGGGGATTCATTCAACACATACACATTATTGTGATCATGTTATTTCTTAGGTTAATGGCCTGGATGTGGTCATCATATAATTAAAACTCCTTGGTATTCATGTACACACAAATGTTACAACTGAACGCTTTAAGTACAAGTATTGCTCGGGCAGTCACACCAAAATGCCGCCGGCTGATTTCCAGTTTCCCATGAATGTACTGGAGTCTATATACATCCTTTCCAGGTACATGTTGACCTGTGTAAGGTGGGTCTCATTTGAAGTCTGAAGTTTCACAGAGAACATTGGCCAATATCACTGCAGGAGGACAAGGGATGGATGAATTATTCTCTGTATTTGTGACAGTTTAAACATTGAGGCTTACAACAAAAAAAATTGCTCAACTCTCTGATATGAGCAGCCCTTTGCAACACTTCTCCTTTATTTTATTTTTTATTTTTTGCCTTGAAAAAATAAAGATAGTACACTGCCATGAAAACTTTAGGACACACTGAGGTCATAGGGTTTTTTTTTTAATATAAAGGAATCAGAAGCAATATATTTCATGGCAAACCCTAAATGAGGTGCCCTGAGTTATTAAAGTAAAAAGAAATGATTTTGATACTGAAGAAAAATTAGCTGATTGATCACTCTAGACACAGACAATAAATCTGTATCTAGAAAGTGCTTTAAACACTTTGGACTATGCAAGGATTTTATATAGTCTTTTTATAACTCTGCTGCATGTGAAGATTTTCAAAAGTCAAACTCAAATCTGCCTCCCAAATACAAAGAAAGAGACTATGCATCTCAGTCTGCATCTCAATTTTCTGACCTATGAAGTAGTTATAAAAATGTAAAACCTGTAAGGCAGTTGGGAAGATTAGAAATATGTAAAGCAATTAGTAGCAATAGTTGTAATAGTAGCTGATAGTTACTGGTATCTTAGCCAGGCACCTCTTTCTAAAAGGTATTATGAATGTATTCACCTAATAGAAAATCCTATGGAGTAGTTGCTATGACTACCATACTCATTTTACAGTTGAGGACATTATAACAAGAAGAGGCCACATAGTTGGGAATTGGCATAGCTGCCAGAGGTAGCATAGTTGTAGTGAGGAAAAAAAAAAGAAGAAATAGAAAGTAGAAACTCTTAGAGAGTGCAAGACTGTAGGAGATCTGTATGTCAGTAAGAAATGTTTTTGCCAACTCTGTAGAGTATTGAGAATGAGGCAACAGGCCTGTCCAGGTCACACTGTCTCTCTGGTCATCTTGCCTGCCTCACTGTTTTCTCTGTGGTTTTAGCATGACCACATCCCCACTCTTGCAAGGAGATTCCCTGAGTGACTTTTACAGTGATTAAGAAGGCTTTAGTGTTGCCTAGGAGAATGTTGATTTAAGGGTCTGCTTCTTGGGAATGGAAGAAAACCAGAGAAGCTGTTGCAGGAAATATTCTTCCCCAAGGTGGGGGCAGAATGGGATCACTTCTTTCCAGAGGGCATTAGGCAGTTCTTAGGATGTCTATCTTGAAGAGCAAAGAAAATTCTCATAAACCCTAACCTCTCCCTCTTGCCCCCAAATTCACCAATTGGCCAGATAAGTCTGCCTTTCTTTCATTAGCAAAGCCCCAACTACAACCCACTCTTCCCCACCAAGGACTCCACAGAGAGCTGTCACTGGACCAGTGGATCCCAAGGAGGTGGGGAGGTGAGGGACTGGGTGACAGGGCTGAGCTGCAGGTGTTGAGACTGCCAGACCACACAGGGCAGATGACTGTTGTGGGAAGGGGATCTGAGGCAGCTTCAGAGGGCCAGCTTCACTGTGTCAGCTGAAACTGTGGACTTATTTTACAAGATTCATGTGGTCCTCAGACCCCTGTAACTTGTTTCTAATTTATCTCTGTGTATGAATGTGATATGTGTAAATGTTCTAGGTGAGCACTGTTGGTTTTAAAAATTGCTTAAAACCCTTGGTTTTCAAAGTTTAGTAATTCAGCAGGAAAGTATAACCATTCTCTCCCATTCTGATGGTAGGTGCTTCAGTTTAACAAAGTTGGAGTCCGTGAAGTCACTCCAGTGACCCCAGAGAATTTTACTGGTTGTGAATTCATGCAGCAGATCCAGAAGGGTACTTATCCTGATGCTGTTTTGAAGGTATCTGACTCATTTGTTCATATTTCTTTTATATTTTACTTATGGAAGCTTCTTGTCTTAAAGTCATGGCATTAGTCATACTTCATATCTATAATGAAGGGCAAAGCCTTGGCAGAATCCAGATCTCATGACTCTTAGGCCAAGGCTATCAAGGCTATTGTTAAATTCTTTCATACCCCTCTACCATTAGTTGGACATGTGTAATTAATTCTAAAACCATGGTAGAGAATCCTAGAATACAAATGTATAGATTAAGATTTCCAGAGGAAGGAGGGTAGAGAGCAACAAACAACTGAGAAATGGGGAAGGCCAGGCCCAGTGACTCCATGAGAAGCCACTGACCCTCAGATATATATTCCTCCATCTCTCTTTCTCTCTCTCTGTAATTGTCTATCCAATCATCTATCTCTCTCTTATCTATCTCCCTCTCATCTACCTATCATCTATTTACCTAATCATCTATCTACCTACCTACCTGTTTTATCTATCTATCTATCTGAACTTTATTAAATCGTTACTGAGGTAGCATTTCCCCCTCAACTTCATCAAGGTATAGACAAATAAAAACTGTATTTCTTCAAGGTATGCAATGGGATGATTTGATATACCTATACATTTTTAAATGATCACCACAATCAAATTAATTAACATATCCATAATTAGTTATCACTTAGTGTATGTGTATGTGTGTATGTGTAGTGAGGAAACTTAAAATATACTCTCTGCAGATTTCAAGCAAACAATGCAATATTAACTATAATCACCAAGCTGTACAATGGGTCCTCAGAACATATTTATCTTATAAATATAACAAAATTCCTTAGAGACTTTGAAGTTTACAAAAAAAAAGAATTCTATCTTTCTTCCAGACTGTTAGTTACCTCCTAATTAAATCCAATCCATAGACACAGCGAAATTTGATACAAATAAAAATTTGTTATTATTGTAATACGCCTCATCCTTATCAAAATCACTTTCTCAAGATTCCTCTAAAATACTAAAAAAAAGTATCCTTTAATAAAACTTTTTATTGTTGTACTGAGAAAGCATTATCGTTGCTTAAGAAATATCTTGTTTAGTAGTCCTGTATTATATACTGAGAATCCTTCTTTTTGTTTAAGGCACAAGCTGAAGATAAAGTTCATTCATCCTTCCGCTCTCTTAGCTCTGTGATCAATGCATCTTCAGGGGATTATTTATTGGAAAGTATCAATAAGCTGTTTGGAGAGAAGTCTGCAAGATTCAAGGAAGTAAGTAAAACCTGTAATTGAATTGAGATAGCTGGGCGCCAAACCAGCAATTAGGTCACTTTCAAAGCAATTCTCTACAATTCTACAATTCATGCAAGCAGAGTGGGAATTCCCCACCACCTCACTAAGGTTGGCCTCCACCCTTCTGCTATCCCTTCTGCTTCCTGTGTGGGTTCCTTCTCTTCCTGTTGCAAAAGTCCCAATTGCAAAGTCATAGGACAATGGAGGCAACCGTTTTCTAGGGCCACTGTCCCCCAATCTAAGCCTATTTCCTCTTATTCGGTGTCTATAATGCAAGGAGTGCAAGAGAATGGATAGTTAGACTGGAGTTCGGGGAAAGGGGTCTGTACTATTTCCTCCCTTAAGTCCCCACCCCTCTACCCATCCTTCACTCCTACCCTACCCCAGGTCTCCCAATCTTGATGGGAATCCTTTAATTTACAATTACGCTATGGTTTGTTTCATGTATATTCTGTGTAAGCACTGACATTTTCTTGCTTTGAAGGAATACATGCAACTCTGTAAGAAATATTACTCTACAGAACCCCAGGCAATAGATTTCCTAGAATGTGCAGAAGAAGCCAGAAAAAAGATTAATTCCTGGGTCAAGACTCAAACCAAAGGTAAACTAAGGAAATATTTTATTTTCTTCTTTCCACTTAGAAAACTCTGATCTATTTTTTAGCCATCCTTGAACATAGCTCTCACCCTTCTACAATTTGTTCTACTTTAGTTACTTTAGTTAATGTGCCTTTATTTCTGTTCATCTGAGTAGTTTTAAATGAAAAAAAAATTGAAGCCCACTAATAGAAGACACATGTTCGGTACTTAAGTATTCTGATCTTGGATGTTACCTTAGAATAGGTTATAAGAGGAGGCAGAAATTTTCAAAGAATTATAGAGAAGAGAAGGATCATAAAATTATTTTACTTTTCTTCTGTTTCACCATTCAAAACCAATCCGTTGTTGAGTTCTTTTGGTTTCTGCTTTGTCTCTTTTTGATTGCCTAAAACATTTCTACTATTTTAACTGATGCCCTTAATCCTTTCACAGGCTCTTGCCTCCATTTGTATTTGTTACAAGGACTTAAATGTAATTGAATCATTTATTCATTGCTATTAAGTTTATTCATTCAGTCAACAAATATTTATCCACCATATACTATTTGTCAGGAACTGTATGTGGAGATAATTGCTACCAATACAGAACTTGCTGTCTAAAGGAGACATTCAATCAAATTGCCACTAGCTATGGAGAATGATAAGTGTGTTGATGGAAAAGTATGGGCTCTGTGTGGGAGTACCTAGGGAAGGCATCTGACTGGATTATAATTAAGAAATGTTTAAATTGTGATTGGGAAGATATGGTTGAGCTGGCCAGGAGGAAGGCATGGTGCTTGGGGGGAGAGATCCAGAGTATAGCACATGTGCAAAGGCCCCGAGATGAGACTGCTTGACCCTTTCAGAAAAGGAACGGAGTCTGGTCTGACTGGAATGTACAGTGCTAAGGGGAGGAGGTGAAAACAAAGAGGTGACATAATATGCTTATTATGCTATTCCCATACTAAAAGCTTTCAGTGACCTCCTGCTGTCCTCAGGAGAACTCTAATTGACTTTTGAGTTCTCAGTTGTTCAGCCAACTGTACTTGACTACTGCTGGCTTCTTGAACTCCTATTGACACAGCAAAAATCCTTAATTCCTCTAAATGTCCAGGGAGAATTAGGAGTCTTAAGTAAGTACTTGTGGAAAAACCACATATGAATATATTTCTAAGAGGAGAAAATAGAGATTATTATGAATGCAGAATTGTTTAGGTGTTTCACAAATTTATGAATTGTTAGGATTGAAAATGTTCTAGGAGAGCATATGTTCAAATCACCACTTCATGCTGTGGACTCCGTGTTTCTGAGGGACAGACTGGCTCATCTAAGATCCCTTTGACAGTGGTGAAATGAGGGCTATCTCTTTTTTTGACCGTTAGTCTAACTCCAGAATTCTTTAACTGAATGCTTAAAGATTTTGATAATCTAATGCCAAAAAAATGTATCTCAATCAACTTCCTATGTTTCAAACATTGTTTCAAAAAATAGTTTGGTGACTTGGTCTCTTAGTTGCCACGATGGAAAATGCACATAAACTAAATTCTATGGAATTTCATAAAGAAATTGTGTTTATCTGTAAATGGTTGATTTCCTTTTTATTCTTTAGTTTCATTTTGCATTTTTAAAATACTGTTCTAAAATTTGACAAACTACCAACACAAAGGAAGGAAGGGAAGCAGGAAAAGTGAGATTAAATCAACAGAAGTGAAAGTAAAAACGGAGATCAAAATTAAAATGATACATGGAAGTTTTGCTTTCTTTAAAGAACACAATGAATTGTTTTTCTCTTTAAACATTATATCAAACGACAGTAAATCCATCAGTTTTTTTGTTGTTTTTTTTTTTTTTTGCCAAAATGCCAAGCAGTCTTTGGGGTAGATTGTTTTACCAACTTTTGTAACAGTTTGAAATAATTTTCTTTCCTACCAAATATTATGATCAAATATTAGTGGTGTCATATGCATCACAAAGGTAAATTCAACGTCAATAGACCTCAATACTAACCCAACATTTTAATAGCTTGAGGAATACATTGAATGGTTATATTAAATGTATGTATTTAAGCTGAGAGGACAGTGATCTTTTTGTTGGAGTCCAACATCTGTCAGCAGTATTAGAAGGAAGGTTGTGCACTGAAGAGGCAGACTTTTTTTTACTAGTTTATCAGCCTTATAACCTTGAGAAGGTGTTAACTTCTTTCATTCTGGTGTCCTTTTATGGGAAATCACACTAAAATTACTCATCTAATAAAGTAGTTGTAAAGATTAAACAAAATAATGTATTTTAGTGGTTAGAATTCTGCAGAGCAGATACGCACTACAAAAGACTGCATTTTTATTTTTTTAATGACCACACTCAGATGATATCACTTCTGAGAAACTTCTCTGGTTCACTCAACTCCCTTCTCTGTATTATTTTGCATTATTTAGCTCAATTATAGAACTTATCACATATTGTTTCACAACTGATTTTGAATTTTATTTCCAGTATTCTAGGTTCATCCAGAATAATTCTTCCCTTGCCATGTCTTGCATGTGTACTACTCTTAGTGTAGGTCCAGCACAACTTTAAAACAATGTTTTGAATGAGTGAATGGATCAGAGCCACAGAGTGTGGAGATCAGATCTAGAAGAATTAAGTGACATACAGTAGAAAGACACTATTATTTTCCTTAAGAGTCTCTCATTCACTTCCTTCTGAATTAAATGACTCTCAGCTGCAAAACTTTGAGAAAGCAAAAAAAGGTGAAAATCTTTTTTTCCAAATTTGACTTAAATTTAAAATTTTAAATGAATTATTTCTTCATTTTCTCTTGAATTTTACAAACCTTCATGAAATGTGTCTCAATTTTACTTATGCATTAGATAATAGAGAGAAAAACTTGAACTTGAAGGTCAACATGTCTGCAGAGTTTGACAGATGTGGACATTGAGTCTAATATCTACTCAAAAGATTCAAGAAATCCTAACTTTGTAGGTCTTGATCATGAAACCTAAACATATGCTGTTGTTTTTTGTAGGCAAAATCCCAAACCTGTTACCTGAAGGTTCTGTAGACGCAGACACCAAGATGGTCCTGGTGAATGCTGTCTACTTCAAAGGAAAGTGGAAAACTCCATTTGAGAAGAAACTAAATGGGCTTTATCCTTTCCGTGTGAACTTGGTATGAGTCAACAAGTTGCATTTTCTTAACATGTATTTTAAGACATTGTCAGAGAGAGACAAAAAAATTAGAGACCACTCATTCATTTTCCTATAGAACTTGCTGGTTACAAGTAATATATGTTGGGCAGTGGGATGACTCCTTCAAGCTACTGAATATCATCCAATAATTTCCTAAAAGGTAGTGTGTGTGGAGCTGAAGGTCTGGGCTTTGTAATTATACAAGCCAGGACTCAAATGGTGACTGAACCACTCGCAAGCTATGATCTTACTTATCCACCATGTATTTCATATTTATTTGTAAAACGAAGATGATATAGTATCCAATTCAAAAGGTTGTAGTATTCATTGAGACTTATTGGGGTGCCTGGCCTTAGTAGCTATTGAATTAGTGTTTTACTATTATTATTATTATCAGTAATATTTTTGTCTATCTTACTAAATAATAGATATAAACATAAACAAGCTAATAAGATCAAAGTACTCACCATAAGGTATACAAAAAGTTTATTTTGTTGATTTCAAAAAACACTTTTATTCAACACTGAAGTAGAACACATTCTCTTTATGTCTAATTGTAAATCATTTGACATCTTAGCACTGACTTCCACATTTTGCTTTTTAATACCGTTAGACTCAGCGCATACCTGTGCAGATGATGTACTTGCGTGAAAGGCTGAACATTGGATACATACAGGACCTGAAGGCTCAGATTCTAGAACTCCCATATGCTGGAGATGTCAGCATGTTCCTGTTGCTTCCAAATGAAATTGCCAATGTATTCACTGGCTTGGAGCTGGTAAGGCATCCAAACATCAATTTTTTTAAACTTCTGAGGCTAAACCTACCTTTCATGAAGTAAACACCTTACAAATGGTGTGTAATTTTTCACAAAAATATGTGAATCGGTTGACAGTAAATATGGCATATCTCAAAATTTCATTCAAAGCCTTAGCTATGTCCTTCATGTTACTTTCTTGAAAAGATTTGACCAATCTATTAATTTTTTATATCACCCACAGTAGAGACAGTCATTGATTTTTAGCATTAGACTTGTTTTGCTTTTTTTCCTAACACTCAGTGTTTTGTTTTGCTTTGCTTTGCTTTGCAGCTGGAAAGCGAAATAACCTATGACAAGCTCAAAAAGTGGACCAGCAAGGAAATGATGGCTGAAGATGATGTTGAGGTGTACATTCCCCAGTTCAAATTAGAGGAACATTATGAACTCAAATCCATTCTGAGAAGCATGGGCATGAATGATGCCTTCAACAAGGGCCAGGCCAATTTCTCAGGAATGTCAGAGAGGAATGACCTGTTTCTTTCTGAAGTCTTCCATCAAGCCACGGTGGATGTCAATGAGGAGGGCACTGAAGCAGCAGCTGGCACTGGGGGCGTCATGTCAGGGAGAACCGGCCATGGAGGCCCACAGTTTGTGGCAGATCATCCTTTCCTCTTCCTTATCATGCACAAAATAACCAAGATCATTCTATTTTTTGGCAGATTTTCCTCCCCTCCAAATTGAAAAGTTCTGTTTCTGCACAAGATTTTGTAGCACGAGCCATAAGCCTCTAAATTGCTCTTCCAAGTGCCAAAAAGTTAGAGATTTTTTCTACATATGTCTTTTTTGAACAACTTCTGCTCACACTAAAAATAAAGACAGAAATAAGTAGATAATCATCAATTATAAGACAACCTTATTAACCAATTGGTTTGCTAAAATGAGGTGATGCCTATTAAAGTTTTGTCTCACTATTAGTTTATCTAATAGGATTAACTTTTACTGTGTTATTTATTATTTTATATAATGGTGGGTTTTTTTTATTATTGCTCACTGTCTATTTAATGTAACTGATAAAGTTACTGAAGTAGATGATCAGTTAATTTCCTATCTAAAGAAATGCTTTTACTTGTTCTTACAGTGAAGGCTGAATAGGTGAATAGGTGTCCCTCCATGCCCTTCTATAATAAATACCTAGAAGAAAGTAATGAAAAATAGACAAAGATATGTTATGTATATTTCTAGCAATATATATCACATATGTGTCTGTAACTGATATAAAATTACAAATATACAATAAAGAAACATATTTTCAAACAATGATAGGTTTGTTGTCATTCTATTAGGTCTGCAGATGATAAGACCTGTTAGTCTTGGTTCCTAGAGGCTGAGCATCATGGCTCACTTTGTGGAAAGCTCTAAAAAGTAGGCAGAATAAAGGAGCCATGGGCATAACCACTCGTTTGCAAGAAGACGCAACACTGAGGGTGGGTATCATGGAGTGAAAAACTGATTAGAGTTGCCTTCTCACAGCAGCACAAGGCATAGAAATTCACAGTAGTCCAGTTCAGAGTCCTTTGGAGCCAATATCTAAACCTCAAGGACACCAAGACTAACCGCCAAGTTCAGCGATCCAGACACAGAATCAGTCAGTCATTGAACTGAGGTTCCAGAGCAGTGGAGACGTTCTGAGCACAAAAGCAGGAGGGAAAACAGAAGGCTGTTTCTTTCAAATAGCACTGACTACTTTTGAGACCTGAGAACGAAGACAAATCATAGGTTTGGGGGAGTCTAAACTAGCAGCAGAGTCTGACTCCTCGTTGCAGAAGTGTGGCTGGAGCATGAAAATGTTCCACACTCCCTATGATGGCAGGCGGGAATGCTTGACCCACTGGAACATGGAGTTGAAAGAAGTAGCCTTAGGACCTTGACTATCTGCCTCCATATCCCAGTCCCAATGCTTTTGAGTGGTCCAACCATAGTCAGGTGTGGTGTTTCCTCTTGCTTTAGTTTTCTTTTAGTGTAAACTACAGAAAATAGTGCTTTTATCACAAGGTTACTATGGTCATTACATAAGTTCATATATATCAAGTAGTTAAAAGAATGTTTGGCATATACAGTACTTGATAAATACTAATAATTCTGATCCATGTTATCTCTGCCAGTAGCAAAACTGTCTCACCATCTGCTAGTTTAAACATACACATAGAACCCCAGAAAACGACTCAGTTCATTTTTTAATGTTTGAATCATGGTGAATTTCCTCTAACCAGGTGGTCTTGAAAATTAAGGGTTCTTTCTTCTTACGTTCCCTTACTTACATTTAGATTCATTTTTCACTGTGTACTTTAGTACTTCATTTAGCAAGGTGTTAAGTGGTATCTTAACGAATCATTGTGAGTCTTAAAATATTCCTATTTTACTTCCATTATTGGGTTAGAATACGGATATTGATTTCTGGGTTCGAAGCACTTGTCAGTACTTTAGGTTATGATTTTACTATCTTTTGACACATTGATTGTTGATGGAAAAGTTGATGTTAAGATAATGCTTGCCCCTTGTAGTTTTAATAATTATTTTTTTTATCATTGATGATGTTATTTGATATTTCATTGTATCAAGGGTATTTTTTAAGTTGTGCTTTAAAACATTTATCCTGTTCATCAGTAGATGTTTTTCCATCTTGAGACTTGTATCTTACTTCAGTTCTAGGAAACCCTCAGCCATTGCTATGGGCTCAATATTTGTATCCCTCCAAAAAAAAAGTATATGTTGAAACCCTAATCCTCAATGTGATAATATTTGGAGGTGGAGCCTTAGGAAGGTCATTTTGGTTGGATGAGATCATAAGGGCTGAACCCCCATGATGGGATTAGGGCCCTTATTAGAGCTGAAGTCACCAGATCTTTTTCTCTCTCATGTAAGGAACCAAAAAACAACAGCAATCTGTGAACCAGGAAAGGACCCTCACCAGAACATGACCATGCTGACACTCTGGTCTCAGATTTCTAGTCTCCAAAACTTTGAGAAATAAATGTTTGTTGTTTAAACCATCCATTCTATGCTATTTTGTTATAGCAGCCTAAACTGTCTAAGATATTCATTATCTACGTAATTGCCTCTACCCCATTTGATCTATTCTTTTTTTCAGGATTCCTATTAGACTAATATTAATGCACTTGGGGCTATTCTTTCTGTTCCTAAAATTTTTGAATACCTAATAAATTCACATGGTCCAAACATCATCCATTATACAAAAGACTAGACCAGAAACTCTTCTTCCCATTTCTGTTCCCTATTCATTCAATTCCCATTTCTCCATCCTCTAGTAATATATGTATATCCTCCTACATATTCATAGAGTAAACCATAAATAAAAACAACAAACAAAATTATGCTAATAATGCTGTACTACTAACTTAGGATATGATTACCCCTTTCTCTTTTCTAGCACTCCTCTCAAACATTTAACAAAATAATGTACAGCCATGTCTTATTGATGTTTGCAGTGTATAGGGGTTTTAATCAAGAAGTAAGTAGGAAAGGAATCTAGAGAAGTTTTGAGGAGAAAAAAAAAAAAGAAAACTTAGCCTGTGACTTTAAAGATGAAACAATACCTTGCCAAATTCAGCAGAATCTCACTGACACATTTACTATAACATAGGCAAATAGATCAAGTCTTCTACTATGCAGGTATGTAGCCCCAGTCACTTTCTCTGGTGAACTCCTGCCAGTCAAGGTGAGCAGTCCTTCTGTCTGGAACCTGTGCATGATATTTTCATCTAATCAAGTCTTGGGGGCATCTGTGGATAATCCTATCTGCTCAGCACAAGTCAAGCAGGCATCACAGAATTTCCTAGAACAGGTATCATTTCCCAGTGAAATCTAAAGTATTATTGCTCTGGCTTCCTTATCAACATTCAAGTAATAAATGCTGAGCCAGCTTGCCAGAAGATATGTGTGCCTCTCTGAAGAGAAAAATGGGAACTGCATGAAGAAAAAGATACCAAATACATTATAGAGACCCTTCCTTTCCCTTATCCCTTTTGGATTTTTTCTCTTGTTCCCATCTCTCTCCTCACTCTGCTCACCATTTCTCCATGAACATGAAAATGAAACAATTGATCTATCGTTTTTTCCTTTCTAACAAATAAGAAGGAGTGGAGAAACATTCATATAGGAAAATAAAAGAGAACCAGAAAATGAGGAACTAACATCCCACCCAATAACTATGTTTAAAGCATTAATCCAAACTCCATGGTAGGGAGAATTGACATCTCATTTGTTGGAATTATGCTCTGGGTTCTACATCACCACTCCAAAGTAGAACAGAAAATTTTCCCGGGTGCCTCCCATGTAGTGTGTAAAAACAACTTTATCAGGTTAACAATAAGTAATTCACCAGTAAATAATTTCCATTTCATCACACATTATTATTCCACTAATTTGAAGCTTTGTATTTTTGCTTTACATAAAATCTACCAGAGAAACCACATTAATTGCTGTCAGTTGGCAGAGTAGAGAAGAGATTTTTAAAAAAGAAAGAAAGTATGAGTTACAATTTGTCAGAATTCAAGTCTCTGCATGTGGACAGACGTTGGAAAATGTGAGTAATTAAATAATTCAGGCAAAGCATTAACTATGTATCTATCTTTTTATTTGAACTTTTGACTGAAAAAAGCCTGAAAGAGTTTACTGACTTGTGAACATGAATCAAGGGGTGGGGCTAACAAGAGGGAGGTCCTAAGATTTTTTTTCTTCAGTTAAAAGTTACCTAACTCTTCAGCCACAAACTCTTACTAAAGGAATTGCCAATTCTGCTTCAGCGGAAGAAAGCAAGGTATTGTAACTGTTTATTTGGCTAATAATGTCTATTTATGTTTTTATTTTTTGTTGAAGTGCCCAGCTAAATAACAAATAGCCAGCCTCCCCCTCCTAAAAATAACCCAGAATAATAGATAAGGTTTGATCCCCTAAGAATTTTTCGATACTAGTGTGAGAGACTTAACCCTGAGCTGGTCTAAAGTTTGTAATGAAAAGAGGGCTAAGCGGGAGAGAGTACTCATTTCCACACAAACCAGAGACACTGTTTTACTAGGAACTGTGAAACCACAAGTGGAAGTTCTTCCAGACTTGATTCCGGACTTTCCACCTCTGTATCTGTTAACACAGGCAAAGAGAAATAGAATATTTTCAGTATAATTGAGGCAAAATCCATCTAATTCTTCTGAAATGTGATCTTGGCACCATAAATTTCCTTTCTAGTCATTAATATATAGAACTAATGTCCCTCTAACTGCTCCCGCCCCCCCCCCGCCCACCCATCCAATACTCCACTCTCATCCTGGTCACCATTTCATGGGTCACTACTTTTCTTCTCTTCTATGTAGAAGTGTGTTTCACTGACTTCCCAACTTATACTAGGTGCTCTTCATAAACCACCCCAAACTAATACCTACCTCAGGAAAAGGCTTAAGGTGAACAGGATGTACTGGGAAGTAGAGGGCGGTGTCTTTTTCTGATATGTACAACTCTATGAAGAGGTAATATCACCAGTGTCATCTGCAAGGCAAGAAGCCATGGAAAAACGGAGAAGAATCCTTGCTGTTCCCTCTACTTCTTCCTCATAATCCCTCTTATGATCTTCTTTGTCCTCCTGCTAGTCCTCCACCACCCATTCTTTTTCTTTTATCACTGAAACCTTAAAAGACAATGAGATACAAAGACAAAAGCAAAGCGATTTTATTCAGAGTCAAAAGAATGAAGTTGCAGCTTTGGCATTGCTGGCAGCTAGCTGTGTATCCTTAGTCAGTTAACCTCTCCGAGCTTTAATTTCTTAGCAGATTAAATTGGAGTGTTGGCTTGGGGGATTCACCAAGGTTTTTTCCAACTGGGATATGCTAGAAGCATGTGTATTTGTGATGAGACATTTTGATGAGTAACACTATCCTTTTCTTACTTTATCAATTCCCTTCAGCATCTCCCCTAATCCCATTTATAGATTGATTTTATATTGTAATTTTCATATACACACACACATATATAATCAGTTTACAACTGCTGAAAACTTGAGAAGAGCGATTCATTTTGAAAATAACATAGTGGGCTCTGATCCAGATATTCATCATTTTTGCAGAAAAGATAATTGTCTAACATTTGTATGGAAAAATTATTTCCTATAAAATTTCATCCCAAGATTCAACACCCTTTGGAAAGAAATTTTCACTGTTGGGGTAAACATTACTAATGACTGGCTTAGTACTTAATTAAGTTTCTTGGAAAGAAAAGCAAAAATTGTTCCTCTTGTATGGAGTTTAGCAAAAAAGCTAGCTGAATCTGCTGGGGTAAAATATTTTCTTTTCTCCCTAAGATATCTCAACTTCGTTGGGCTACACCTGATATATGAATGAGGGAATTCATGATGCTAAATCTAACTGAATATTAACTGAGAAGTTAACTTTTGTTATAGATAATTATTGTTTTTATGAATTTGTTACAAGTCAATAAACTTTAGAATAACCCTAAGGGAAGGTTGAACAATAAAATTCCAGGCCCTAAAATGTGATTTTTTTCTCCCTACTTCATGGAGAGTATGGTTTGTCCAAGAAGCCAAACATTTTCCACATGAATGCAATTCATGAGATTTTAAAAGAAAAGAGCTTGATATATCATGCATGCAGTAAGGAAAATGGCATTTGAATGAATTCAACCTTAAAGAAAGTAGAAAAGCTATTTTCAAGATGGCATTTGATCTGTCAAGGAAAAAATATACAAGCAAGCTTTCAACATTTTATGAGGGTACAGAATTACTACAAAACTACCCTTTGTTGTTGTTTTTTTTTTAATCAAATACTGTCAGCCTGGGATTATCATCAGCTTTTGGAGTAGGCGGGAGCCACACCTAGGGTATGATTTAGAGGCTGGGAAGATGTTTGGTTAAGTGTGAGCCTGTGGCTAGGAGGAATTTCCACAGTATCACTGTTAACTCCAAGTCATGATGAAACCAAAACTGTCTACACATGCCTCTCCCTTGATTTAATTTTTCAACTATAGAAAACTTCTGATTTTTCCCAAAGCTCTCATTCTAGGTTTCTCAGAGAACCAGGTGATGTCAGTGTAAGACTAAATTCTAGACAGAGTTGGCATTCATGGGAGTTCCTATGAATAATAATTTGATTTTTTAATCATTAACCAATTTGAGAAAGTGTTTTGTCATAAAATGACAATAGATTAAAGTAGCTGTGTTTTTGGTAGAGACCCAGTGTTAAAGGACTTTTAAATTAAAATATTAGAATAATTAGAGGTGAAATTTAAAAGGTGAATAGAGTATCAAAAAAGCTGAGGAAACCTGAGTTCTCTTGTTCAAGAAGACCAGTTTCATAGTGTCTTGAGTGAGTAAGAATAAAGGAAAAGGAGTTTTTACCTTTCAACTTCTCTATGAGCATTTCCCACCTAATTGTGCCTGATTTTGAGTTTAAATAAATTTTAAAATGGTTTAGATCCCAAACGACGAAGCATTTCTCAAGATGCTTACCCTGGAGTTGGAAAGGCTAGATATGAACATATGGGCAGAAATCTGGTAGTGTGATAAATGTAAAGTAAGTAACAAAAACTATATTATAGGACTCTGCTGTTAACTGACCAGAATCCATTTGTTCTCTGGGACACACTAACCCTGAAATTTGAAGTAATTCTCTTAAATTATTTGGAATTCAGTGTTCTAATATAGAAAATAATAGTGTTGGACTACAATTCTGCTAAGTCCATTCAGACCTACTTTTACAAAAATTAAGTAAATGGAAAGAATTATTAACATGTTCTTTATATATTTTTTTATTTTTCTTAGTTTTTCTGAATGGATTCTATAACAGCATCAATCAACCAGTTTGCCCTGAATTTTAGCAAAAAGCTAGCTGAATCTGCTGAGGGTAAAAATATTTTCTTTTCTCCCTGGAGTATCGCAACTTCCTTGGCCATGGCGTATTTGGGCACCAAAGGTCCCACTGCAGCTCAAATGGCCCAGGTGAGTAGTAAAGGCCAATATTCTCTGTTACCTTGAAACTAAATGCTTTCTTTGCTTTTTAAATTTAGTTTTCTCTCAAAACCCCAAAAGTAAACATTTCACAACAATATTCTTCAAAACAGACATTATACTAACAGCAGCAACAAAAAAGCTTGACCATAAAACAAAGCCTGGTAAAAAGAAACAATCTGAAAAATGTTGTTAAGAAAATCATTTAAAAACCTGTGTCCTTTAGCAAAATACAATGGAGAAATGATGAGGATATTAATTTTGATTCAACACCAAAATCAATTTTATTTTGATGATTAAAATACTTCAAGAAGTAATATACCGAACGATAAATAATAGAATTATCCAGCATCTTTATAATTTCTGAAAAAATTGTCTTGAAGACAAAGTAAAATAATTCTGTTCCTCACTTTTGTTTGGTTATTTCTTTGTTCAACCCCTGGCTGTCTGAAAGAATGTAACATGAACACTATGAGCATTAAAATAACAAAACAATATCATTGTATAAAGAACTATTGATTTGCAGTAAGTATCCTCAAAGTACTGTGTGTGTAAACATATATACATATACGTATATACAGCCATAGATAGCAAAATATATAGTAAAACAGTCATACATGTGTATAGAAATGTAATATATAAGAATACACGTACAGATATGCGCTTATATATGCATGTGCATTTTACATAACAACACAAGCAAAAAAAGTAAATTTAGCTCTAAATCATACAACAGTCTAAAGGCCAAGTGACAGAATTTTCACCCAAAAAGTTACCCTCTCTGACAAGTGTGGCAATGAGCACATTGGGTAATTTGGAGTGAAGTAGTCAAAATATATGTTCTGTCAGTTTCAGCTTGGGATATCACCCTTGCTCTTCTTGTGCATACGATATTGTGTGGTCTAAAAATAACAGCAGAAACAAAATCCTGCTTCACAACTTGCTAATGAATGACTGGTTATTTCAAAAGGCTTAACCATTGTTGTGGCAGGCTCAATTTTAAGGGGATTCCAATTTGGGTCTATTTCATGTAACTATATTGCTGGTATTGCTTGTCTTTGTTTTAGACATGAGCTGCAAGTAAGCCTAATGAATTGGCTATGCCACCCTTTTGTGCATGGCAGAGGTCTTTGTTTTGTTACCACAGGTCAATGCAATCCTTGATACAATATACTATAGTTCTTATTGTGAGCTGGGTTCAGGATATGGGAGATGGAATTATTGCCTTCTGTTCTAGTGTTGTATAATTCAGGGGAAGCAGGGATATCCACATCCTTCCTGTTAACTTTCAAACGAAATATTGGGGTGAACACAAAGATTATGTCTATATATGCCAAGTGGTGGTAGACAGAGAAATGAGGTATTTAATTAGTGGGGAAAAAACAAAAACAAACTAAAATCCTTTAATATTCCAAATATCTGGGACAGTGACATCTTTTACTTAAATTATCTAAACTATGGTCTTGAAGAGGCAAAGTTTCTTTTTAAAAGAACCATGAGTAAAAGAGAAAATATGGAAAATAAGATAATTTTACCTAAGGATATTCCAACATTAACCTCAATTTACTATAAAAAGTATTAAATGCAAAGACTAGCAACTTAAATTAGACTTTTAAAATGTATTTAAAAGCAGCTCTTGACTAAATCTTTTCGTTTAATTAATGCATCATTTATGCCAAGTCAAAGCCCCCTCGTTTAGTTAATGATATATACTGCAATTGTAGGAATGACCGACTTGCATGTACAGATGTGTATTCCATATGATTACTTTTCTGTAAAGTATACTCACTTGTCTTTTTATTTAACTTACAGGTGCTTCAATTTAACAGAGACCAGGATGTCAAATCTGGTCCTGAAAGTGAAAAGAAAAGAAAAATGGTACATCTTATCTTTTAAGATCTATTTGATGATTAAGAAGGGAGCATATTTAGCATATATGTTTTAGTGGCTGATTTAGGCAATCTTTAACTGGTAACTTTTCTTAGAAACATATATTAAAATCATAGAAGCATTTTTTACATACAAAATGTTTCTGGAAGACTCATATTTCTCCCTTTATTTCTACCCTCTTTTTATCCCTCCCAAAATTCCTTTACTTTCAAATGTGTTGTTACTTGCCTTTGCAAAGTAAATGTGAAGAAATGATACCCTCAATGGCATAAATGTGAAGAAATGATACCCTCAATGGCATTTAATTTTTTTGCATTGACAACATTAAGTAAAACATTTTATCTACTTTAGAGTCATTATTAACTTTTGTTTGTACACACCAAATAATTTTATTTAGTTATGGGTTGTGCATACATGCAGTTCTTATTCAGCATTTTTATTTGACTAATTCCCTTTATTTTAAAGGAATCCAACTTGGGCAAGGTTGAAGAAATACACTCTGATTTCCAAAAACTGATCTCAGAAATCCTGAAGCCCAGCAATGCCTATATACTTAAAACAGCCAATGGGATATATGGCGAGAAAACATATCCATTTCACATTGTAAGTGCAGATGTCTTATTTTAAGCTAATGGGAAAGGAGCCATGCGAGACCAATCAATAAACTCTGTACATTTCTCTAGGAATCCCAAGGTCAACCTTAATGTGGTCAGTACTTTCCTGCAAAAAATAAGTTAGACTAACTAATAAGTGTCTAGTGGTAAAGAAAATTAATAATGTGTCTCAAACCAGACTTAATGATTGGATCTTTATGTCTAGAATAAAGAGGTAACTTACAGGAATATTCCATGGACACATACAAATTTGTCAAGGTTAGTAGCAGTGACTCAAGCCTGTAGTCTCAGCTACTCTAGAGGCTGAGATGGGAGGATTGCTTGTGCCTATGAGTTGGAGGCTGCAATGAGCTATGATTGTGCCACTGCACCCCAGCCTAGGCAATAGAGAGAGACCTTGTTGAAAGAAGAAAGAGAAAGAGAAAGAAAGAAAGAAAGAAAGATAGAAAGAAAGAAAGAAAGAAAGAAAGAAAGAAAGAAAGAAAGAAAGAAAGAAAGAAAGAAAGAAAAAGGAGGGAGGGAAAGAGGGAAAGAAAGGAAGAGAAGAGAAAAAAAAATGTGGCACGCGTAATGCCAGAGTCAATGTATGTTTCACAAAACAACAACAAAAAGCAACGTTTATTGATTTAAGTAGGATAAATCTGAAGGAGTGGTGAGTGGTGTCGATCATAGAACTGTGGCTAGAGACTGTACTTGAGAGCAAAACTGACTTTGGAATGAGATAATTGGGCCATTTTCATATCAGGAAGGACTTAAAATACTTTGGAAATATGAAGCATAAAATGTCAGGTTCTTCCCTTTGCTAACGGTTTGAAACCTAATCAATGAAGAGCATGGTGACCGGTTCTCTAAGACTGAAGTGCCCTTCAGAGTGGTACACCAAAAACCAGAAAATAATTTACTTTTTTTGCAAGTTTGTCCATCACATCCTGTGGCACATATCAAAAGAGAGCAGAAGGACCCAGGTGTCCAGTGGGCAAAGAGCAAGGAAATTAGGGTAAAAGTATACTAATAAGATAAAATAAAGCTATCTTGTGAATTAAAGCATGGCTATCCCTGTCCATATCTAGTAAATGCTGGGAGTTCAGGATTTAAGTATTGTTGCTGCTTAAAACGGAAAACCAGCCAAGTGGAGTCTTAAAGACAGTTTCCTTTTGGGTAGGCTCATGGACTCCTGTTTGATTCAGAAGTAGAGGATGTAATTAACTCAGTGGGCACTTGGAAACTAGAAAGACACAGAAATACAATTATATTTTTACATATTCACAAGCTTACCCTCGGTCTGATTTTCAACCCAGGAGTTGATATTCTTCCTGATTTGGTCTGGAGCTCCCCAAAGTTCTTGGATGTTTAGATTCTGCAGAAGGAAGATACCAGACTCACAAGCTAACTTTGGTTCCATCTTTACCATAGAGAGTAAAGTACAACTCCCAATATCTCATGACCACTGTGATTCATTAAAACCTCCCTTTTCATTCTAGCCTCATGTCCAGACATGAATAAAAATACAAAAGAAGAGATTGTGAAAGCCCCAAAACTGTGAACATCAGACCTTCCGTCCACACCTGGAATTGTGCATGCCCCACTAAGTTTAAAGAAACAAATGTTTTGTTTTTGACCAAGCTTGGGAGTAGGGAAAGAGAGGAGAGAGTGAGGGTAAGACAGGGGGTGGTGCCTTGTGAATATTTAAGTTTTCTTTTTATCAGATTACAAATTCCACAGAATTTGAATTTCATAGTCTTCAAACCACTTCCTGGAAGCAGAATTAACTCACCATTCTTTACTGCCTACAAGCCTGTCATAAAGTAAGCAAACTAAAGGAATACCGTAACAGTCCTAAGAAAGAAATTATGTTCCCAAAGCAGGTACTCCCATACCAGCAACCTCGGCTATAACACAGCATAACTGCTACCCAGTGAACATCAAAGGGCCATGAAAGGATGCATTACTTTTTGCCTTAGGATGCTTAGAAATCAGTTTTCATGGCAGAATATAGTTTTCGTCAAGGGCCCTCCACAAGGTTCTTGGGTGTTTAGAGTCTGCAGAAGGAAGATACCAGACTCACAAGCTAACTTTGGTTCCATCTTCACCATAGAGAGTAAAGTGCAACTCCCAATACCTCGTGGCCACTGTGATTCATAGAAACCTCCCTTTTCATTCTAACCACATTTCCAGACATGAATAAAATAGAAAAGAAGAGATTATGAAAGCCCCGAGACTGTGAACATCAGACCTTCCTTCCACACCTGGAATTCTGCATACCCCACTAAGTTTAAAGAAATGAGTGTTTTGTTTTTGACCAAGCTTGGGAGTGGGGAAAGAGAGGAGAGAGTGATGGGGTCGGAGCTTATAATTTTCCATCCTCCTAGTTCTTTTAAAAATCTAGGTAGATATAATTTCTCAGTTTTAGAAAACCTCTATAAAGGTGATTTTGTTTTTGTCTTTCAGAAATATTTAGAAGACATGAAGACATATTTTGGTGCAGAGCCACAGTCTGTTAACTTTGTGGGAGCCCCTGACCAAATCAGGAAGGATATCAACTCCTGGGTTGAAAGCCAGACTGAGGGTAAGCTTTCACCAAGGAACTCAGTAGAGAACTTTTCCAAGCACTGTTTTATCTGTTTTCATTTGCGTCATGTGTAAGTATGTGTGTTTCTTAAACAGAACTGTGGACACCTTCTAAATATTCAGAACATTTGTTTCTATCCATGCCCATAATTTTTAGATTCACAGCTTTCCCAGTAAGTCTTATCTAAAACATTTAGGTCACCTTTTTACCAAGAAGAAAGTAAATGATAATCATATCCTACTAATTTCAAAGAGTAGTCCAGGGATAAAAAGGCAGGAAAATCCAAAAAGGAAATATAAAATACTGTTGCATGTGTCTTTTTTTTTTTTAAAGAAAAGGTACTAATTAATAACCAAAATGTGACATTCAATGTGCTATATAATCTCGAGTACTTTTCAAAATAAGGCCATTTGATGGTTAGTGTGAGGACTAAGCTATTACAAAAAAAAAGACCCAATGTACAGTGGTTTAGTAATAAGATGAAAGTTTTCCTTTCTCTTACATAATAGTACAAAAGTAGGTAAACATCTAGGTTAGGTGAAGTAGTCTGTCCCAGGAGCCATCCGGAGACTCAGGCTGGTAGGTTAGCTCTGCTATTGTCTAAACATGGCTTCCATCTCTACATCCAAGAATATGTTTATAATAGTCAGTTTTACAGTCAATCGGAAATGGAAAAAAAAGAAAGTCTAGGAAAAGCTCCTTTGTTTTTAAGGGGATGTCCTGAAATTTTTACACTTTAATTCCATTTATATTCCACTGACCTAAAAAATATTTCATGCACACTTTCTGCTAGGATGATCAACTTATCCCAATTTGCCTGAGACTTTCCTAGTTTTAGGATGAAAAAGGCTCTCAGTCCCAGGCAAGCCAGAATGGTTGGTCACTCCTACTAGCTATAAGAAAGGCCTACAATAAGAGAAGTACAAAATAAGAGCAGAAGTAAAAATGCTCAAAATATTTGGAATATATCAAAAGGACACAGGAGCCAATAGAGGAGGCTTACGATGATGAAATCTGGAACAATTTGAGCAACAAAATAATGACAGTACTGAATTTTAATGCATAGAATAAAACAAATACCCTTAAGTTTATATTGATATAAAAAAGTTGAATATCTAGATGAATATTTGAAAACCTAAATTAATGAAAGATTATGGAAAACTCTTTATCATAGTTTATTTATAGTTAATAAGTATAGAAGGAATGATGGAAATAGAAAACCACCATTTATAATAGCAGTTACAGTAATAATTGTTTTAGACAAGAATAATAAATATGTGCTAAAATTAGTGGACAAAAGTCTGATGAAAAACAAGATATTTGTAGGATCTCAAAGTATTTTCCTACATTATTCTTATTAATTACAAAAGGAAAAATGGAGGAGAAATTTTACAGTGGAAAAATTAAGTGTTCAAATTAGCACCACTAGTAACAGGACATATGGGCATTAGGTACTTCCTGATATGATTCAGTGAGAAGGGCATAACATGGCTTTTGTGGTTACATTAGCTTCTTAGGGATGCCATAACAAATAACCACAAATTGGGTGGTTTAAGATAACAGAAATGTATTCTCTCACAGTTTTGGAGGCAAGGTGTCAAAATCAAGTTGTCTGCAGAGTCAGGCTCCCTCTGACGGCTCTAAATAAGAAACTTTCCCATGCCTCTCCTATCTTCTAGAGGTTGCTGGTAATCCTTGGCATTCTTTGGCTTGTAGATGCATCACTCTAATCTTTGTCTCTATGGACATATCTCTTCTTTCTTGTGTTGTGTCCTTCTTATGTCTCTGTGTTTTCACCTGGTGTTCTTTGTTCTATATGCTGATGTCCAAATTCCTCTCTCCTTATAAAGACACTAGTTATTGGATTATTCCTCACCCTAATCCAATAGGACACAACTTAATTGCATTTACAAAGACTATTCCAAATATAATAAGTCTCCTACATGTGAATATGTTCAATTCCAAGAGTGCATTCGTAAGTCCAATTTGTTCGTTAAGTGCAACAAAGTTACCCTAGATACCTAACACAATCGGTTATATCGTACTGTACTCTAATAGGTTTATAATCCTTTTTTGCATAAATAATACATAAAAAACCAGCAAACACAAAAAATAAAGAAAACATTTTTAATCTTACCACGTACAGTACCTTGAAAATACAGTAGTACAGTACAGTACAACTGTTGGCATACATGGGCTGGCATCAAGTGAACAGGGAAGAAGAGTTACTGACTAGAGGAGGAAAAGGAGGTGGAAAATAGTAGAGCTGAAGGTCAACAGCAATAAGAAATGGAGGGCACGCTTTCACTCACACCTGACGACGGCATAAGTTTTGGTTCCTTGCTGGTTTCAATTCTATCCAACTTCTTGAAAAAACTATTCAGTGATGTCTGGATAGCAGCTCTTTTTTTCTTGTCATAGATGATGAAACAATGTATGCCATATACATGAACTAACTTACATGATTGGACATGTAAACGCACGTTTGCACCTTTGAAAGCTTGCAACTTGAATGTTCATATGTAGGGAACTTACGATAAGGTCACATTCATAGATACTGGAGGTTGGAAATTGAGCATGTCTTTTGGGGAGACAAAATTCCATCTACAACAATGGTAGTCTTATAAAATGCATAAGCTAAATATTATCTTGAGGAAACAGTAAAACCTAAACTGAGGATTCAGGTGCATTCTACAAAACAAATGACAAGTCTTTTTCAAAAGTATCAAGGTCATAAAAGACAATTAATGAATGAGAAACTGTTTCAGACTAGGAAGAAATTACAACTAATTGCACTGTGAGATCTTGGATTGATTTCTGGCCCAGGAAAAGAAAAAAAGGGGGAGGGGGACTTTATTTGAACAATGGATCAAATTTAAATACCACTTAACAGTATTCTATCGTTGTTAACTTCCTGGTTTGAATCGTTGGTATACATATGATGTTATTATTTAACAATATTTTATAATCATTTTTACAAATGTGGCATATCACCAGAATGTAACAGTACCATTTTCTAATTGCTTATTGTTTAAAAAGAAAATAATTAATGTTAATGTAACTTAAGCACCTAAAAAAAGTCCTTAGTTTTAATATTTTTCCTTGATTCTCTTTGCTTTCCATTTTCATGCAAATAATAATTTTGTCTCCTCCTCTTATATAATTACATCCCATCTAGATCTATTGCTTTATTCTATTCATTATCATCTTGAGAAAAGTGTTAAATAATGGTGACTATAATAGACCATGCCACTAATGTTTCTTAGTTGGCATGCTTATGAAAGTTTGTTGGACAAAAAGATTATTTTTCATATTAAGGAGTGCTCTTTTGCTTTAGTTTGCAAAGACATAATTTTAATACTAGAAAATGACAGAAATCAAAAGTGTTTTGGTATAACTAAACATGATACAATTTTTCTCATATTACCCATCAAAGTAATTATCTCAGTCCATTTGTGCTTCTATAACAAAATATCTTAGACTCAGTAATTTATAAATAATGGAAACTTATTGCTCACAGTTCTGGAGGCTGGGAAACCCAAAATCAAGATGCCAGAATATTCATATCTAGTGAGGTTCTGTTCTTGACTTCCAAGATGGCACCTTCTCATTGTCATCACACGGTGGAAGAGACAAACAGGTTCCCTCAATCCCTTTCACAAGGGTACTGATCCCATTCATAATGGCAGAGCCCTCATGACTTAATCACTTCCCAAAGGCCCCATATCTTAATACTGTTAAATTGAGTATTAGGTTCCAGCACATGAATTTTGAAAAGACACAAACATTCAGTCCATACCAGCATTGCATTACATGTACTAATAGGTTTCCTATTATATGTTTCTTACATTCTTGACATAAATTTATTAGATTTATTTACTAAAGTGCAATTTAGGATTTATTTGTTTATATTCACAAGAGAGATTAGTTTATAGGTAGATATTTTGTGCTTTTTCGTCACATCTTCATATTGAGAATATGCCAGTTTGATAAAAGTAATAAGATAATTTTCTATTTTAGGCTTTGAAACTTCTTTAATAGTGTAAAGATTTATCAGTTGCCTGAAGGTTTAAAAGAATTGGCCTGTCTAAATGTCTGAGGTTAACCCTGTTTCACAGGAGGAAGTCATTTGACAGTCTTAAAACTTCAATTGTTGGATTTTTTTTCATATTCTCTACTAATTCTTTAGTTTTTATTAATATTGTCCAGACAATTCATCCACATGATAATTTCAAATTAAGTGCCATGAGCTATCCCTTATAATTTTAAAGTCTCTACCATGTCTGTGTTTTGGTAGTTTAAAAGATCAGTTCTTAATTTTGAATCATCTCTGCTGCATGGTGAAGCTGAGTTGGCCAGGAGGTTTTTCTCAATCCACTTCTGTCTACCTCAGTTATCAAACATGTTGCCTCTACAGCAAACCTCTATTACTTGATTTGAGACATATATGTACTTTTTAAATAAATTTTTTAAATCTTTCAAGGTGTTTTAGTGGGGAGTTTGGAAAGAATGTATTGGGGGCTGCCCATCAAATATCAGTTTAAACAGGAACTATAACAGTCTGATATGAGCAATTGCACAAAGTAGAATTTTGGGCAATGGGAAAACATTGGCACAACCTTTCAGATGCTAATCAGAGCAGATTACAGTTTGTGGCAACAAATGGAAGTGAAGGAGAAGGAAGCATTTCAGTCTTTTCAAAATAGGGGTGCAAAGTTACTCATATCAGAGGGAAGAAACAACTAACATGCAAATTTTTCATTAATGTGAAATAATGCTTACTGACCAGTCCCATATTATTTCTCTGGTGTTTTTCTTTTACCCTACAGTTATTCTGAACAAAAATTGTACTCTTTTAGTTTTAGAAAGCAATCAAAGTCTGGTGGTCTTTAACTAAGATAAGTAATTTCTATTAGCCATTTGAAACTGTCCTTTTGCTTTTGCAGGTAAAATCCTGAATCTCCTGCCTGACGACGCTGTGGATTCTACAACCAGAATGGTTCTGGTGAATGCCCTTTACTTTAAAGGCACCTGGGAACATAAATTCTTAGAGCAAAACACCATAGAAAAGCCTTTCAGAATAAACAAGGTAGGAAACTTTTAAAGATCGGTTTGAATGTTCACGTGGCATTGTAAAAGAGCCTCTATTTTAAATTCACTCTTCTTTTTGATTACCCATTTTTTGAGCTATGGCTCTTCCTAGGGAAGGAATAGCTGGGCTAAAAGCCTCCAGTTCCACGCCACCTGGAAAATCTCCTTCCATTATTTTTCTTTGAAAATAGACTACTTACATGCTATTGCTCGGTCCTTGCTACAGCTATCTGAGCTGAGCAGTGTAGTTTTTTAAATTTTTCCTCAGGTGAGAAATTCAGTGTAGCCAAGTGACTGGAGGCATGCCTGGGTTAAAAGCAGTCAGAACCAGAACCTAAGACTCCTCAGTATAAGATCTGTTTTTGTTCTACTAAACCAATGCTATCTTCTACCAAATTCTTAATCTTACCTAAGCAAACGCAATAAAAAACTTAAATCTCACTTTATTCATTGAGGTTTCTCTCTCTTTTCAACTCTGTCTCTACCACTATTTTTCTCTCAGGCTGAAATCTAACTTTCTCTGCTTCCCAGTTCATAACGGCAGATCATGGCTGCCCACAGCACCTTCTTCCCTTCTAGAGACCAGTTTGATAAATCCCGTTCCAAATTTCTAGGAAAGGAACTGTTTGGTCAAGTTTAGTTACAGCTGTTTAGTTCAGGGATGCACCATATCCCACAAACAGTGCTGCTGAGAACCTACTACTGTGTCATGTAGATATGTGCAATTGGCATCTCTCAATCAGTGTGGTGAGGATGGGGAAGGGACTGAGCACAAAATCCAACAAGCAAATGAGAAATGAGTGGGATAGTTACCTGGGTTAGTGTAGTCACCAGGAATTTCAATTGCAAGTGATAGAAATGCATTCCAAACTAGCTCCAGCAAAATGGGAATTTTATTAGCATTAGTTTACATAACTTAGAGGAACTGGAAAGTCCAGGAGTGAGTGATTAGAGACTCTAGAGTCTCAAAATATAATCTCAGTTTCTCTTTTTCTCTGTCTCTTTCTCTCTCTCTCTCCATCCCCCTCCCACACACACCTCCTTTGATTGTTACCCTCATTCTCTAATAACGAAGCTGTAATTCATCCACAAGATCAGGGAATATGGTTGCCCGATATTTAGTCTTCTGGATTCACAACTCTAGTCAACAGAGAAAGTCTTTGCTGTTAGCTGTAACACAGTGATCCCAAGGAAGACTATGGCTGGTGCCATTCATAGGCTTTTCCTGGCAACAATCACTGTATCCTAAAGTTCTCCCATTGAACAGCCCTTGTTATATGGTCACCACCTAAGCACCTGGGTGGGGCTTTGTGATCAACACTAAGCTCTACATAGAATGACAAATAACATATATCTACAACATCTTAACTGCAGGGAGTTTTGCAACTAGCTTTCTTTAAAAATAGACTTTATTTTTTTAGGAGGTTTTTAGGTCTACAGAAAAATTGTACAGAACACAGAGTTCCTGTATGTCTACTTATGAACACACACAGTTTGTCCTATTATTAACATCTTACATCTGTTATAATTGATGAGCCAATATTGATAAATCATTTTTAACTGAAATCTATAGTTTTCATTAAGGTTCACTCTTGGCATTATACAGTTCTGTGGGTTTTGACAAATGTGTAATGTCATGTGGCCACTGTTACACTATCATTCAGAATCATTTCACTACCTTAATAATGTCTGTTCTTCTTCTATTAATTCTTCTCCTGAAACCACTGACAACCACCATTATTTTCCTGTTGTTTCTACAATTTTGGCTTATCTGGAAGGTCATATAATTGGAATCTTACAGTATACAGCTTTTCCAGGCTCACTGTTTTCACTTAACAATATGCATTTAAGGTTCTTTCTAGGTGTGAATCTCCTTGTGCTCATCCTAGTTTGAGACTGTCGAGTTTTTTAGATGTGCAGATTAATATTTTCCATTAAATTTCAGAAGCTTTTGGCCATTAATTTCCCAATAGTATCTCTGTTTGCTTCTGTCTCTCCTCTACTTCTGAGATTCTCCCATTTGTATAAGTTGGTATGCCTGATTGTGTCCCATGGGTCTCTGAAACTTTCTTTATTTTTCCTTATTATTTTGTCTTACTGTTGCCCAGACTCTATAATCCTAATTGACCTTATGATAAAATTTGCTGATTGTTTTTTGTTCTTCCGGTTCAAATCTACTATTGAGTCTTTTTAAAAAAAACAACATATTTTTTATTTTAAAATTGTGGGGTACAGTTAAGGGTTAGGTATACAAATATGCATCATTCAGCCACCCTTGTTGATAAGGGGTGTCCCCCCATCCCCAGACAGATATTGACTACCATTAATCCCACTTCCCTTCCCCTCCCTGCCCACCCCCATAGTTGCAAAAAGACAGTGAGAATCTTGAAAATCAGCAAGAAAAAGGCAAGTCATTGCCTAAAAAGTATTTTCTATAAGATTAGCAGCTGACTTCTCATCAGAAACCACAGGGTTCAAAAGGATGTGGGAGGCCATTTTCAAAGTGCTGAAACAAAAAGATGGGGCTTCCAAAATGAAGGAGAAAATAAGAAATTCCCAGGGAAATAAAAATTGAGAGAACTTCTCACTAGCAAACTATCCAATAAGAAACACTGAAAGACTTCTTCAGCCTGAAATGAAAGGACACTAGAGAGTAAGCCAAATCCATGTGACAACAATAAAGAGCACCCGCAAATGTATTTTGTTTGTAAGTCTTTTCTTTTCCTTTCTGATTTATAAGACAATTACATAAAGCAATAAAAAAAGTTCTTTCATATATTTTCATGACTTGATAGATCTTTTTGTTTTATTGCTGAATAATATTCCATTGTCTGATGTGCTACTGTTTGTTTATCCCTTCACTTATTGAAGCACATCTTGGCTCATTCCAACTTTTGGAAATAATGAATACAGCTTCTATAAACTATTGTGTGTGCAAGTTTTAGTGGATGCACATTTTTAACACATTTGGGTAAACACCTGGGAGTACAGCTGCTGGATTATAAGATATGACAATGTTTAGCTTGGTAAGAAATTGTCTTCCAAAGTGGTTGTAGCATTTTACATTCCCACTAGCAATGAATGACAGCTCCTGTTGCCCCACATGCTTGGCAGCATTCGGTGTTGTTTAGGGTTGTCATTCTAGTGCCTGTGTTTAACTTGCAATCCCTCATGACGTATGATCAAGTGTTTTTCATCTGCTATACATCAGCCTTTATGAGGTGTTTCTTCAGATCTTTTGCCCATTTTAAAAATGTGATCGCTTTATCATTGTTCAGGTCTAAGAATTTCTTGTATATTTTTGAATACCTGTTTTTTATTTTTATTTATTTATTTATTTATTTATTTATTTATTTATTTATTTATTTATTTGAGTTGGAGTCTCACTCTGTCACCCAGACTGGAGTGAAGTGGCCACTGCTGGCCACTGCAGCCTCGACCTGCTAGGCTCCGGCGATCCTTCTGCCTCAGCCTTCCAAGTAGCTGGAACTACAGGTGCGCACTACCACACTTGGCTAATTTTTTGATTTATCGTAGAGATAAGGTCTCGCCAAGTTGCCCAGGCGGGTCTTGAACCCGCGGGCTCTGGCAATCCACTCACCTCAGCCTCCCAAAGTGCAGGATTACAGGCTGAATACTCGTTTTTTAAATCAGATACGTATTTTGCACATTTTTTTCCTAGTCTCCTGCTTGTCTTTTCATTCTCTTAGGGAATTTCAGTTTGTAGGATATTAAAATTCCTTCTCAAAAGTTTGCATGTGAAATATACCTTACTCAGCTTCTGGATCGCTGACATTTACATAGTTTAAAAAGATTATGAATGTTTGATAACTCTACCATGCTATGATTTATTGATGTGGCGACAGCAGTGCTAAGAGACAGGAACTCACGTATCCTTTATTGGTGATATAGTCCAGTAGAATATGTATTTGGTCTGGGTAACTTTATTCAGCCTTTAGGAGAGGATCACCAGTTTTACTAGTATCCCAAACACCTGGGAACCAGTGATGGTACAGAATTAAAGAACATCTCCTCCATGACTTTGCTATCTATTTCTTGTAGACGACAAGCAAACCAGTGCAAATGATGTCTATGAAAGAAAAACTTGATATTTTTCACATAGAAAAGCCACAAGCCACAGGCCTTCAACTCTACTATGCTAGTCATGACCTCAGCCTGCTTATATTACTTCCAGAAGATATAAGTGGACTGGAACAGGTAAGTATATCAATCTGTCTGATGCAGCTGGAAAAAGCCATCACCTATGAGAAATTGAATGATATTTCCTGTGTTTAGATCTTATGTTTTATTGAGAAAAGTATAAAATAAGGACATGGTCTCCCTGTTCCTAATTCCTATAGAGAAAGGCTTATACCCTCAGCCCTAACTTCTTTATGTTCACAGTATCATTTAAATTTTACAAAACTGTATAAAGTTGATACAACTATTTATCAGAAAGGCTAAGCAATATATAGACATCTCTAGCATAGAGTGGTCACACAAATAGTCACATGTACATCAGATATAAATACTGTGCATCAGGCACAAAACTGTGTGGACTGATCATAACAGTCCTTTAATCAGCCCTGGTCTCCCTCTGGTAGAACTTATATTATTGTGAAATTGGAGAAGATGGTAAAAATAAGAACACTATAGACAAACATTCATTAGAGTCAAACTCCTTTAAGATAAGGTCTTCTTTTTAGGAGTGCAGTTTTTGAACTGAAGATATTATAGCATTATTAATGTAAATCATTTACAGCTATGTCATTGACAGTCAAAGCTTGAGTCTAGAGAACTCTTAAAATAGGAAAAACGTGCTTTTTAACATGTCATTTTAAAAAATCAAATTTAGATACAAATATAAAAATATATGTAGCATGCATGCATATATTTATTATTTAAACTTCTTTAAAGAAAAGAAAAAACCCTTAAACTCACTATAAAAATTATTGCTCTTGAGATTTGGTGGTATTTTTTTTCCTTTTCCTTTTTGGGGGGCATAGTTTAGAGTTATTAATTTCATATTGTTCTGATTATGGAATGCAGACATTTTGTTTTATTTCTTTTCAGATTTTTTTCAAAGAATGTCTCTTATGTTGGTAAAATTGATTTTTGTGTGCCATGGTACGCAACTTAAACTAGTGTATATGCTTTTGTGTAGACAACATTAGAAATGTATTTTAATAGTATATATTTAATAGAGCAATAGAAATTTATATTTTTAATGATATATTTGAGTGAATAGTTGATGCCTTGCATCCAATTTTAGTACTTCTATTTTGAATTAAAGTCTAACTCTCCTATATCCCTAGAGCTATTAATCTGCAAAAGAAAGATTCTGAAGGTCACCAGGGTGGTGAATTCCATTACACAACTTTTGGGATTTCCAAATGAGTGTATTTTGTCACCTTGGGAAATGGGAGTGATCGTAATTCATCTGTGTCATTCAACCACACTATTTCTCACTCCTGTTTTTGGAATTATTAACTCTTTTTTTCTTGATTTCAAACATGCAGCTGGAAAAAGCCATCACCTATGAGAAATTGAATGAGTGGGCCAACACAGATATGATGGAATTGTACGAAGTGCAGCTGCAGCTTCCCAAGTTCAAGCTGGAAGAGAGTTATGACCTTAAGTCAACACTGAGTAGCATGGGCATGAGTGATGCCTTCAGCCAGAGCAAAGCTGATTTTTCAGGAATGTCTTCGGAGAAAAATCTCTTTCTGTCCAATGTTTTCCACAAGGCTTTTGTGGAAATAAACGAGCAAGGTACCAAGGCTGCAGCTGGCACTGGGAGTGACATCAGTTTACGAATTAGAGTCCCCTCCATTGAATTCAATGTAGATCACCCATTCCTCTTCTTCATCAGACACAATAAAACCAATAGCATCCTTTTTTGTGGAAGATTCTGCTCCCCCTAAACGCTGCATCTCTCATTAAACAAGACCATTGTATAGCGTGAGAAATGCACCATAAGATGGAAAAACACAACTTTCATACAAATACATTTGTAGCCTAGTCCTTTTTCACTTTTGAAGACAAGTAAATAAATCCTGGAATAATGCATTCCTAGTGATCCTGTCATATATGTATAAGTAGAGAAAAAGGCATTTTTTTTCTTTTACCACATGAACAACATTTTGTCTTGATGTGACTTTCATTTACATTTCAGAAGTTCTAGGCAATTCAATGGAATGCCCTACAATTCTTGAGATACTTGATCATTGTGTTATTATTGTCACTTGTCATATTTCACACACATCATGTATTGAAAAGAAAAGATTTCTATAAAGGTAATATGATATTGCTAAACAAGTTTCTCAAAAATATCATTTTAATAGTTCATAAATTACCACTGTGAAGTTAAATTCCCCTTTTCTGCCGATCCATTTTATAAAGACTTACATTGACATTAATAGAACAGTGAGTAAAATCCAAAGGAAATCTTTAATTTAGTTAATAGCAATCTATCAATATCGGGGTCTTTGTTTTGACAAATATACCATGGTGATGTAAGATGATGTTAGTCTTAAGGAAAACTGTGTTAGGGGAAGATGGGAATTCCCTACATTACGGCTGTACCTTTTCTGTGACTCTATAATTAGTCCCAAATAAAAGCATTGATCTATCACAGAAACAAAAAACGGAGTACCACATGTACTTACTCATAAGCAGACCTTGAATAACTATCCTAATACTGTAAGAAAGGGATTGACAGTAGTGGGACACTGCCAGAGGAGGTCGGGGTGGCACTGGCAGTAGTAGGAAACTGCGGGGGGTGAGGGGGGCGCACACCTCATCAACAAGGGTACTTGTATAATGAACATTTGTATACCTAACCCTGAATTGTACCCCACATCTTTAAAATAAAATTTTAAAAATTTAAGTGTTATGGATTGCTGAAATATTCAAAGCCAACTTTCCGCAGTCCCCTTCGTCACCACACCAAAGCAACGCAGTCAAAGCCACCTCATCCTAAGCGCCCATCCTTGGCGGGTAACTCTTCCTTCCAGCATCTCAGGCCTGACCTTCCTTCCAGGCACCCACGCTATAGACCTGAGCGTGGCAGACTTTCCAGCGCGAGGAACACGACGTGCCTTGGCTGCGATCCCTTGCAGATTCCATCCCAGTGGAAGTCGCGAGGGAACAATCACATCAACAACACCTTGACCTAATGACAAATAATGATGGGTGCCATGTCGGGAAGAAACAGGGCGCGGCTGCAGGAACGAATGGGTGGGTCTCCTTAGGGTGTATGAGGCGTCCTTGATCCTTCTCTCCCCAGCATGGACCCCAGGTGAATCCTCCTCTCAGGACCTCCTGCCCGAGGCGGGCTGCGCCCCAAGATCCCAGCCCAGTCCTCCCAGGGACCCTGGGGCTCATCTCGGACGGGTGAGAGGTGGTGCAGAATTCCTGGAAAGAGGGTCCCGCGCCGGCCCCTGGGAGCACTACGGGGGAGGGCGGATGTCTGCAAGGGAAGGACAGGGATGGAGGAGGGGACACGCAGGTGGAGGCTCAGCGCCTGGGGAAGCAGATCCCCAGGAGGCGGGCGGTGGCCCCAGAGACCCCTCGGCCGCCCCGCTTCTCGGGACAGCCTTGTCAGTGGCTCCCGCGTTCCTCTCGCCCTGGGTCAGAGGGGCTACCATCTTTTTTTTTTTGAGTGGGAGTCTCACTCTGTCGCCCTGACTAGAGTGCAGTGACACGCTCCCGGCCACCGCAGCCTCGACCTGCTGGGCTCCGGCGATCCTTCCGCCTCAGCCTTCCAAGTAGCTGGAACTACAGGTGCGCTATCACGCCCGGCCCATTTTTGATTTATTGTAGAGATGAGGTCTCGCCAAGTTGCCCAGGCGGGTCTCGAACCCGCGGGCTCAGGCAATCCACTCACCTCAGCCTCCCAAAGGCGGGGGATTACAGGCTGAGCCACCGAGCCTGGCGGATACCATCTTTTTAAGGCCCAGATGTACCTGTGGCTTTTAGGGATCCCGAGCCCTGTATGTCTCCGTCTAACTCAGCCCCTACTGCCCTCGGGAGCCTCTGAAGGGCCCGTCCTCCCCAGCCCTGCTTCCCAGCAGCTCCGGATTTTAGCCTCTGGCGCAGCTTCTTCGTCATCCACACTCCGCTATCGTCTATCCACACACCGGCAGCCTTCGGCGTCCTTGTAGAAGTCCAACCTAACCTCTAACCCAGCAGATACCACACCTGCCCGATTCTGAGGACCCTCACTGTCATTTGGCCACCGCTCAATGGCCCCATAGGAACGTTGTCATCTCCCAAACTGCTCAACTCTCTCAATTGCTGTCAGTGATTCTCTTCCCTGGTTCTTTTTACACCTCTCTTTTCTCTCCCTGTGTCTCTTTCGGGCTCTTCTCTAGAATGTTATATATTAACATTCTTAGGACGCCAATGCTCTCCTCACACTCTCTGGAAAATCTCACCATGCCCATGACTTCAGCTGTACCCATTTGCTGAGAAGGCCCAAATTAGCATCTGGTGCCCAGACCTCTCTCCTGAACTCTCTTCTCCTGTTACCTTAACCCTATCATGTCAGACACAAAATGCATCTTCTCCTCCAAATTTATTCAGTTTTCTCTTTTCCCAGCCTCGCTTTTTGCCACCACCATTCACCCGGCTTGTCCAAGTCCTTAAGTCTAGGAATCATGCAAGATTCCTTCTTCCTTTTCCTCCCATCCAGCAGTCCCCAGGGTCTCACTCTGTCACCCAGGCTGGAGTGCAGTGGCATGACCTTGGCTCATTGCACTCCTGGGCTCAGGTGATTCTTCTACTTCAGCCTCCTGAGTAGCTGGGAATATAGGCACATGCCAGCACATCTGGCTAATATTTTTAATATGTGTGTGTGTGTTGTGTGTGTGTGTGTGTCTGTGTGTGTGTGTGTGTGTAGAGAATAGGTCTTGCTATGTTGCATAGGTTGGTCTTGAACTCCTGGGCCAAGAGATCCTCTCATCCCAGTCTCCCAAAGTACTGGGATTACAAGCACAGCCACTGTACCTAGCCTTGTCTATTTTGGGGCGGGGGTGGGGGGGAAGCAGGATTTGTTGAGGACAGAAAAGCTCCCAGAGCGGAGGGGACCTGAGGGGTTTCCTGTCTATTCTTCAGGTCATTTCTGTCCACATCATGCTCCATTCCCATTGCCACTGCCTGGGTCACCATTGGTGTGTTTCATTTGAAACATCCCAGCACCGGTTTCCCAGCCTTCTGTGTCGCTCACATCCTATGTGTCCACATTGCTGTAGGGCAATCTTTCCAATAATTAACTCTAATCATGTAAGTTCCCAGATCGGAATTCTTCAGAAGCTCTCTGACATCTAACAAGAAAAAATAAAAACTTTTGGGCATGAGATGGAAGGAATCTCACAGGTTCCCATTCTAAGCTGCTTGATATTTCATGACAGAGCAATAGTATTTGTCCCCCGACCATATGTCCATTTGCCTGTTTTCCTGTTTCTTTTTTTTTTTTTTTTTTGAGTTGGAGTCTCACTCTGTCGCCCAGACTGGAGTGCAGTGGCCACTCCCGGCCACCGCAGCCTCGATCTGCTGGGCTCCAGGGATCCTTCCACCTCAGTCTTTCAAGTAGCTGGAACTGCAGGCGTGCGCTACCACACCCGGCTAATTTTTGATTTATTGTAGAGGCGAGGTCTGGCCAAGTTGCCCCAGTGTGTCTCGAACCCAGAGGCTCAGGCAATCCACTCGCCTCTGCCTCCTAAAGTGCTGGGATTACAGGCTGAGTCACCGAGCTCGGCTTGTTTTCCTGTTTCATACTCTCCTCCTATTTGTCACCTGAAACTCATCCTCATTCTTCAGATTCAAGTTAAGATGCCTCTGTGGTATTATTTTTTGTTTTCCCAACCAATTATTGTTTCTTGTACTTTTTCTTTTACCCTTAGGTGTAACACTGTGGCAACATATATCACATCCTATTTCATCTCTGTATATATCTATCTCCCCACCGGACAGTGTCTTGAGGCCAGAAGTCTTATTTATTATTTTCATATCTAATCCCTTAGTATAGCCCGTGGCTTGTAGTTTGTGGAATGAGGCCAGGCTCAGTGGTTCATGCCTATAATCCCAGCTCTTTGGGAGGCTGAGGCAGGAAGATAGCCTGAGACCAGAAGTTCAAAGCCAGCCTGAACAACATAGCAAGATACGGTATCTTTAAAAAAACTGTTTTATTAGCAGGGGGTGGTGGTGTGTGCTTGTCCTCTCAGCTACTCAGGAGGCTGAGGCTGGAGGATCACCCAAACCCAGGAGTTCAAGGTTATAGTCAACTATGATTGCACTACTGAACTCCAGCCTGGGTTACAGAGCAAGACTTTGTCTCCAAACATAAAATAAATTAAGAAATTTGTAGAATGAATGAAATAATTAGAGCCATTAGCAGTTAGTGAGTCACTATTACCATTTCATGAATACTAGGTATTTCATAATGAAGTTATTAAAGTTGCTGAACAAATGCCAAGTTTTCCAAAGAATAATATTGCAAACAATCTAAAGGTTCTGCCCATCATATTGTTTAAGTAACTCACAGGATGAGATCTTTTTGCAGTCCTATGACGATCTTATAATGCCTTTGGAAGTTGTAATAATCCTGAGAGAGAGTATGTGTCTTGGGGAATGGTATATATTTAGGGTGAGAGAGTGTAAAGAGGAAAACAACAGGAGTGACAGACGTTAGAGCCCTTTACTCGATCTTAACTGCTTTGTCCTTAGGGCAGTGGACTGATAATAAGGGACTAAGGTTCTCTACCTCAGGGTGGGTTGGGCGCTGAGAAACCTCTTCCACTGTCTAAAAGGAATGAAATATTCTGACCACCCTTTGCCAGTTCGGAACAATGAAAATATTTATTTAATGTCCCTTTTTGCTTTCATCCAATAATATCTAGCCTCCCTTCAGCATTTTGAAATTAAATCGTTTGCCCC